TGCTGTGCTCCGCAATGGATTAGCCACTGTGCGACCTGGCGGAGAGGCTTGTCATCCCTCGTACAGCCAGAAGTGGCTAATCCATTGTGGATATTTGTATTCGTCTACGAATACGAATACCCCCATCTCTAATCAGCAAAAGACTGTTTCCAGCATCAGCAGCAGTTGTGTCTCTAAGAGAAGGGCGTGGGGATTATCTCCGATTTGATAGTTGGTGTACTGCTCCAACTATCAAATAAATTTATTGTCATTGTAAATATATACATAGTACAGTGGTGCCTCGACTTACGAACTTAATTGGTTCTGGAACTCTGGTTGTAACTTGAAATGGTCAGAGGTCAAAGCACCATTTCCCATAGGAATGCATCGAAATACAATTAATCCATTCCAGTCGAAGAAAAAAAAATCACCCCCCAAAAATCAAAACACTGCAAGACCTATTGGAAACACGATTAATCTGTTCCAGCTGAAGGGGGTGGGGAAGAAAAGCAAACAAATTGTGCAAGACACTTCTGAAATGCAAAAAAAGCAAAGTAGAAAGCAAACAAACTGTGCAAGGCCCATCGGAAATGCAAAAAAAGCAAAGGAGAAAGCAAACAAATTGTGCAAGACCCATCAGAAATGCAAAAAAGGAAAGCAAAAAGTAAACAAAGCGCAATGGAAAAAAAACACCCAAAAAGCAAACAAACCATGCAAGACCCATTGGAAATGAGAAAAGAAAAAAAGAAAAAGCAAACAAACCCCCCAACACTCATTGGGAATGGAAAGAAAAGCCCCAAAAAGCAAACAAACCGCGTAAGAACCATCAGAAGTGTGTGTGTGGGGGGGGGAACCAAAAAGCAAACAAATCCAACAAGACCCATCGGAAATGGGAACCTCCCCAAAGAAACACAAACCCAGCAAGACCATCACAGCATAGAAACATAATCCTACCACCCAGCCCAAAACCACTCTGCAAAACCCACCCAGAACAGTTTTAAAAAAGCAGAAAGCAGCACCTTACCTTACCAGGCAGTCCGAAGCCTCCTCCGATTGCATTCACTCTAACTGTTGGGGCAAAAGAGTTACAAAGAAGCAGCCTCTTTGCCTACCAACAGTTAGCAATTTGAATTCCCTGCCTTTCCCCCCTCCCTTTTTCTGTTCGTAACTGGAAGCTCTGGCTGCAAGTCGGAGCAAAATTTTGCAGCCGGAGCTGGTCGTAACTCGAAATGGTGGTATGTCGGGATGTTCGTAAGTCGAGGCACCACTGTATACACATACAAAGAAATTCACACAGACACCCAGAGACCAAACCCACATGCACACACATAAAAAGTACCCAAACAATCCCCACCCACTAAAAATCCACTGCTAAGAACACAAACATCTGCACCGCAGATTAAGTAACACTGTCCAACTGTTCAGTACTGGTGGTCTTTAAGTTCATTATTAAGTGCAATTATAGCTCTGGGATAAAAACTATTCAGAAAATTGTTCTATATCTTCTGCCAGACGGCAACAGTTCAAAAAAAGTTGTAAGCAGGACGGGAAGAGTTTCTCCGGATGTTGTGTGACTTCCTCAGATAGCGGGATATGAAGATGTCATCCAGGGTTGATAGCTGGAGCACGATGATATTCTGGTTCTCTGTAGAGCTTTTTTGTCCATTACAGAGCTGCTCCCAAACCATACGAGAGTGCCATAGGTTAGGACACTCTCAATGGTGCTACGATAGTAGGGCAGAGGTAAATGCTGAGATAAAAGTAACTTTCTGAGCGTTCTCAGGAAATACAACCTCTTCTGTGCCCTTTCCACTAGCATGTTGGCATTTATAGTCCATGAGAGGACCTCTCAGTGCCCAGAAATTTAAAACTACCAGCCCTCGCCATTTATGTAAATGTGGTAAATGTACATTTCTCTTCTTTCTTGTACTTCCTTTCTGTAAGCATACTCATTGTTCTTTATGAGCCCCACCACTGTCAACAATGGGAGACAAAGGAGAATGTATAGAGGATGGACCCGTAGGTCAAGTGATGAGAACTCCTTGAATAGATGATTCACTGTACCCATGGGGAAATGCCTCTTTGAGGAGGGGGCATACCATCTCCTGTTTCTATGAGGGCAGATTGCGTGGGTGCAGCCATTAAACTGCAGTCCTGCAGTCAATGCTGCTCATGACCTAGTTCAATCCAAATGGATTCAGGTAACTGGATCAAGGTTGAGTGAGCCTTCCATTTTTCTGAGGTCTGAAAAATTAGTTCCCAGAGTGGCAAGTTGTTGGTGGCGTAATTGTGTTGTAAACCTCTCAGGGAGTGCTTTAGCACAATAGCGTGGTATATAAATCAAAACAACAACAAGAAATTTCAGGAGGGTACAACAAAATGTCTTTTGTCCCATACCATAGGAAATTAAGAAGGCACCTTAGTCGCCACAGTCGTCCTCATCATTATCATCATCATTAAGTCTGACTGACTTTTGAAAATGGCTCCCCCAGTTTAACAACATATTTTTGAAATGGATATATTCTGCTTGATTACAGTGGTGCCTCACATTACGACATTAATTTGTTCCAGCGAAATCGCTGTAGAACGAAAACATTGTAATGCGAAAATAAAAAGCCCATTGAAACGCATTGAAACCCCTTCAATGCGTTCCAATGGGCTGGAAACTCACTGACCAGCGAAGATCCTCCACAGGGCGTTCATTTTCTGTACCTGTGCAGTGAGGAATCCGTCCCAGAAAACAGTGGGGAGCCATTTTATTTACCCGGTGGCCATTTTGAAACC